CAAAACATTTAACAGAATTGTTCTTATTACTCTTCACGTACATGGTTTATATATGAGTTTATTTGATTGACTTATCTGCTGTTATTTTTTCATTGAAAACATATTGGCTCTTTTAGAGTTTTGTTAAGCTATACTGACACAATCAAGTAGTGTGTAAAATAAAAACTCTGTAATTCAACTTAAGTATTTCACTGATGAAATGAACATTGTGCTTTAACTTTGAAGACAACTTGCTATAGAGGAAGTGTTGTTATGAATGTTGTTGTCATTAGATACATGTTCCATATACAGACGTCTGGGGAATTAGCAGGTAGATGACATGTGCCAGTGCAGCGGGTGGTAGCATTTAACTAAAGTAAGAACACATTTCCTAAAACCCTCTTTGATTAGTGCAGGAGGACACATCCTCTGTGGTCATTTCATCTTTACTAATACACACACATGCTGCAGGTGATCTTACCAGTTACTACTAGTTATAAAATGCAGTGTAGAAACTTCTTGCCAAACTTGGGCCTTTTTTGTTTGTGTCTTCTCAAAATTAATAATTGATCATGTAACTCCTTTTCATTATTTTTGAGGCAAACATTGACTCACACAGGCTGTATGGGTTTATTACTTTACTTCTGTTTTTGAGAAGCTTCCTGCAGTAGCTGAGTTTTCAAGTTGTCTGTTTATTTGAATGAATGAGTTCACTAAGTCCAGTCACCTCAGGGTTGGTGAACCACCATTAAACTGTTGTATAATTTTAGGATAGGAGACAGTGAGAAAATACACGTCACAGTGTGTAAGGTCAAGCATGCTGACAAAATTATACAGTACACACCGATGAGTCATGATTTACAGTGAGGACCTCCTGACCGCTGAGCTGACCGTTTAGACCTGAATGACTCCTCACTGTGTTTGTGTATGTGGAGGGAGGAGAAAAAAAGGGGTGAGGCAGTGCGAGAGAGAACTAATGATACAGCCTTCTTTGTTTGTCCTTGTCTGTTCCCTTTTGAGAATTCAACCAAAATAAATAACAGACGCACCTGTGTCAAGCAAGCGTTTACAGAGAAACAAATATAACCTGATTCCGGCGAATAATGATGCCACAGCGGTGTCTGTGTTCGCATATAGAGCAGCTGGGACAGCATGAATCATCCGAGTGTGAAAAGTTTTTAAACAGGAACCAAAGTCCGCCCCAGATTAGCAGCCCTGTCCCCCGGGGGAGAGGCTGTCAGGCAAGTCTGCGCTACCAAGCGCTCACCGGCGACCGCTCAGGCTTGAGAAACACAACTGTCACTGTTGAGGAGGCCGGTGTGCACCAGTACTGCTCATTGGTGAAGATACAGCAAACTACTTAATTTTATTCCCTGCAGGAACATTATGTTATCTGAACATGGTGAATAGGGAAAGTATTGATTATGAGCCACATGCACAAAGAAAAAGAACCCCCACATCCAGTATGGAGGATTGATGTTGTATCAGTTACACTGTTAAACATCATCTTCAGCCCACATACACTGTATATATCAATATAAAACTGATTGCAACACACACCATCTGGATGGGTGATAAATGTTTAAAGTTCTAAAAGGTCTGACAGTTATGAAGGGAGCAGCAAATGCACAATTGTAGTGACAGTGTTATTGACAGTAATAGTAGTGTATGTGGGAAAGACATTTTGTATACCTGAGAAATCTACTTCAATAATAATCCAGGATGTGGTCGCAGACGTGATCCTGTTTCTGTAATGATAAAGCACAAGGACTCTGAAGAAGAAGACGTCAAAAAGTAAAAGCCTTTTCTGAAAAATGTTGAAGCTTCATGCGTAAATCTGCGATGATGGCTTGTATAATTAAAGCTGTACCTCTCATTCACTCCTATCATTACAAGGCGCTCTCATTTAGGAGTAAAAGGATTTATAGGATTAAAAAGCTAAACACGTTTTTTGTTATTTGACCAGAATTGCCAACTCTCTGCCAAGTATTCATCCATCCATCCATTACACAGCTTATCCATCTGAGGGTTGTGTGTGTGTGTGTGGGGGGGGCGGGGAGGCTCACCACACATCCATACAGCACCTTGCCAAAGTTACAGATTTTTATTTCGTGTCTATATTTAACATCCTGCACTTTGGTTCTTGACTCTCAAAAGTGCCGAAAAGTTATTTCTGACAAAAAACTGAATGAGATACATCCGTATGCGGTAAATGAGGAGGTATAGGGAACAATCTATTTTCGGGAAAAGGGGAGGGGGTACAGAGGGGGGGATAGATGAATTGGGAGGGGGTGGAGAATGGATTGTTCCACGTTGGTGGGTCGTGCTGGCATAGTGCCAAGGATGTCCACACAGACTAAAACAGGGAGTTACCCTGTGAAGCTTTGTGCCCATCAGCAGGCACCGGCCCTGAAATGTTGAGCTTCAGATGCTCCCATCAGGGGGAAGGTTTATTCTGCTCAAAGGAAGCATCAACAGATTAATCTTTGTTCCTTCTGCTATTTTAAAAAAAAAATTATAGCTTTGACTTCAGTTCCCATTCTAAACATGTCTGTTCTCTTGGCCTATGGTGATGCTCCGGAGCTACTTCAGAATTATTCCTTGTCTTTATTTTATTTTCATAAACAGTCAATGGTGCAGAGTGAAGTTACAAAACTTTGTGTTTCTCCCAACTGGTTTATCTGCAAGGATGATTTTATCCTCAAAGACTCATAAAATTAAACTGAATTTGATTTATTACTATTCACGTGTGTGGCTCATATATAAGTTTGAGTGATGGCATATTCACGTCGGCTATTTCAGAGGTCTGCCAATTTAAAGCACTAGAGCAGTGAAACACATTGTGGTTTCATTTTGTAGACAAATTGCTAAAAAGGAACCATTTTGGAATTAGTAGGTAGATGCTTGTCACGACTGCCTATATGATGACTATTGACTGAAAAGCAAATTGCCTCTCGTGGACATTTAAGTTTTATACTCTACTCTAAGACTGTTAGGTGTGGCAGCTGAGAGCTGATGTTTGTCTCTAAACTTTAATGTCTCAGCTGAGCATTACTAAATGATACCAATAATGACAATAAGAGGATAAGTGGTTGTTATAAAAAAGATTCTCATGCATCAGGTGATGTATTTCATTCCCTGGAGATCACGATCCTGCAGTTTATGATAGTTTATGAATTTTTATTGTTGGAGCTTTTCCAAAGTATGTGCTGATTTTCACACTAATGCATAAATGCAAGACTTGCTCATGGTGCAGGGTCACAAACAGCAGCAGCGGTAAAGATTGTATGAACTGTGCAACACTGTCCCCAAGTGGATAAATATCTGTTCTACAGCTCCATCATTTTCTGAAGTGTTGACACTTGAACACCAAATTCTAAACATGATCACAATGATCAAACACAAATACAATGCCTTGATGCTGGCTAGAAGACTTTCTAGCAGCACGTAAATGGAAAGGTGTAAGTGCAAGTATGAGCAGCACCTTCTCTATACCATATCACTCACACAGCCATCAGGGAACACCTTACTACGGACATGCAGAAGAGACTGGGATCAAACCGTCGGTTAGTGGATGACCCACTCTTCCCTCCGAGCCAAATATGCCCACGTTCACACAGTTCCAAAGGAAACACAACACTGACTCTAGTCTGGTGGGTATCAGTCTGCAATCATGGTAACATATTACTAAGTCCAACCACCCTCACAACTTGTGGCTTTCATTTAATTTTCCACAATATAGAAATGATCAACTGTAGAGACATCAGACGTAAATGGAGGCTCAGCAGTTCAGACAGGCACTGATGTCATGTATAGTCACATATTCCATACACCCTCCTTTCATGTCCACTCCAAGTCCATGAGCTGTCTCTCATTATAGTTTATTTGTGCATATTTAGTCTGTTTACAACAGTGCTAACTGCGTAACTTCTTTCCCCTCCCGAGTTTTCTCTTGTCTTGGCATTTATATGCGATTTGTTTAACATGTGTTCATAAGGAGCAGGACCAGGGGCATTTACTTGCCGCCTTCTTAAATGTGATTTGCCCCTGAAGTGCCCCTTTCCTTATTTTCTAATAATCTGTGAAATTCCCCATGTGCTTGATCGAGGCTTTGCTCAAAGCTATAGAGCTAACTGTAAACAAGGAATGACTTACTGTAAATCTGCACCTTACTGAATCAAGAACTGTATATGGACGTTGGTCATATAATTGGCCCCTCTGTGTAATTGTGGCCCCTTTTTTGGTCCCTGATTCAGAAAAATCCTATATCCACCACTGTGTTCATGCTCAGTAAATGTTTTGCAGCAGCTTCTCTGAGGTGAGGAACTTAAAGGGGCAATGTGTAGAATTTAGTGATAGAGGTGAATTTCCATGTTGCAGCTGAATCCCCCTCACCTCATTCTCCCCTTCCAAACATGAGAGAGAACCTGTGGTAGACATCAGTTGCCATAAAAACTCAAAAGGTACTAGTTTGTCCAGTCTGGGCTATTGAAAAAAAACATGGCGGCCTCTGTAGAGAGGACGCCCTCCCAATTTAAATATAAAGTATTTATATATAGGGTTCATTCTAGGGTAAGGAAAAAAACAATTCATACAATTTAGATGAAAACATCACAAGGATTCATTTATATTCAATTTCTGCCAATAGGTCCCTTTCACCTAAATCTTACACACTGAACCTTTAATTGTCCTGACTAAAAATATCAGAAATGAATCGTTTTGTGCTTTTTGCTTTTTAGTAAATATGTAAATATGAAGTGCAACTCTTTACTTTACTTTACACATAGATCACACACACCAAGTTTGATACCATGTATTGTTCAACATATCTCAAAAGAATAATCATACACAACAATTCCAGCAAGTGTTAAAGTTTCACAAGTTGACAGTTTAAACATAATGGATCATGGTAAAATATGATGTGGTGCCTAACGTATATTTATCTAATTTGCAGGTGGATGGGATCCTGTGCCTGGCGGACATCTTGACCGATGACAGCAGCGTGGAAGCAGCCCGGGCCGAGGCGGCAGCAGTTGTGGCTCAGATCACCTCGCCTCACCACACGTCCACGCAGCACCTCGCCAGCTTCCTGGAGAGCATGCACGACATCGTCACCTCGCTCATCAGTGAGTGGACATAGCACTGATGATGTCACAGCTGAATCATTGACTTTGACAAAAAAGAACCATCATTGAGATTTAATTGCAGAGGATGTTTCAAATATTATGTCCGCGTGATTCACTGTCAATGACAGCTCCCCAAAAAGTTAAAGCATCTTAATCACCCCCTGGTGGCTGGCTGTAGTATAGGTCGTAAACTCTGCCTCTTCCATGTTAGTGGATTGGACATGTAAAATGTTTTTTTTTCCTAAAAGTAAGTTAGGTTTAATAAGTTATTTGATGCTATAAAAATGGGATGGAACATCATAATTGACAGCTGAGACTGACCTGTGACTGGTCGTATCAGCAGGAACTCACTACAAAAGCTCCATTCCCTGATCAGTACTGAGTAGACTCGATGGACGGATGAATTCTGCAGGATATTGTGGCTTTATTTCTGGACAGTGGGAGGAAGTGGAGACATGTCATCCATCTTTATATACAGCCAATGATCCAACCCACTCATATCAATGAGAGCAGAGTAAATAGAATAGAACATCAGGGGGTGACATTCTTAAAAACTCAAAACGCAGTACATAAAGACAGGAGTTACTACAATAAGTAGCAGAAAATAGAACAAAATAGTTATACTTTAAGAACTTAATGTTCCTGCTCTTACACAAAAGAGTGTTATCTCTTGTCTAGCCATGAGTGAGCAGCCTCAATCTAATGTAAAGACTATTGTACTCAGGCAGTACACTCAAGGCAGAGGCTATTGTTTCAAGTTTTCCCTTGCATTACATTTGTTACTGTTTTATGTTTGAACCACTCCACTCAGTGACTGTTTATTCCCTCCTATTGTTGTGTAGAGTTGTGTGAGAGCGCCTCCTGTGGTGAGGTGTTCCTCCTTGCGTCTGCAGCCTTGGCCAACATCACCTTCTTTGACAGCATGGCTTGTGAGATTCTCCTGCAGCTCAACGCTGTCCACATCCTGCTGCAGGCCTGCAAAGACCGACAGAGAGTCGACACACCCTACTCCAAAGACCAGGTGAAAATGTGCATTTAGCTTTTATTTCTGTATTGCTTATAGGGATGGCGAGTGTGAAAGATCTCAAGTTAGTGGTTGACTTAAGGAAGTCTGCAGTAGGTCCTGATTTTATTTAAATTTAAAAATTAACTGTTGTCAGACAAAACATCATGCATTTTCTAAGGCATCTGTATGTGTATATGTCATCATGTTGTTTTGTATTCGCTGTTGTTTAAATCTCAGGTGGTGACCATATTGGCGAACCTCTCAGTCTTAGAGCAGTGTGCTGCTGAAGTCCTGCAGGAGCAAGGTAAATAGTTTTACAGCTTCAATTTGTAGTTCAATGTTACAAGACATTGTTGTTTATTTCCTCAAAATTGATTAAATACATGATAAACACCTGAACTACTTTAAAATCTATTGGGTGAGGAACAAGTGAAAAACGTTAGTGTAAATCTTCTTCAATCCTCAAGATGGCAGCACCAAGCAACATCTGTGAAGTAGCCTGGCAGTGTTAAAATACATTACATAGATCGTTACGTATTTTCTTTCTTCAAATTACCATTTATATGTTCTGCTTATATATGTACTTCATACACGTAGATTGATATATATATGTTTTCAGTGTGAGTCTGGGTCATTGACTTATAGTCTGATTGTGCCTGTATCTTTACTATTCTTCTTCGTCTTGTCAGTCAGTTAGTATATAAAAATAAAGTATATGTGTCAACAGACGAAATTACTTTTTTCATTGTTATACTGTTTTTTTTAATATATACTGCATCATTTATTTTATTGTCAGCTTGGTATTATCTTTGGACCAGCAATTGAAAATACAATTTTCTTGAAGCATTGAGCTATCCGAGCAAATTTACTTCCACCAAGGCCCACAATACCCTTATAAATCCACATTTAAATGCACTAGATCCAGTTTTTTATTTGGATCTACAATCAATTTCACACACTCATAAATATCAGTCCTGCAAACATGCCTTTTTTTCATCAATATCCGTGAATGATTGTCTAAAACTTCAATAAAAGTTCTTCGCTTATCCATACCACATCCTTCCAACAAGTTACATGGTAATCCGCTCCAGATGAAGGGTAAAGAAAACAACAATTAGTACAATTTAAATGATCACACACTAGTACAATCATCATTATGATTACTTATATTCATTTTCTGCCAATTGATCCCTTTCACCCAAACCTACACACTGGACCTTTAATGGCAAGATTCAAGCTGATGTGTTTGTTGTGTTAGGTTCCTATGGTTCTGACTGTGTGACAATGTTTTGTCTTATTTGTATCTAACTTATTTCCTATCTGTTTGCTGCCTTCATTTGTAACGTTCTTAAATGTGTTTCTGAGGTATCGTGTTCCAATCTGACAGTTTGTTGTACCTCTGTATAACCTTCCGGACAGCCTTGCCTCTATGGTTTCTTGCTTGGCTTATCTGTATTGTACATTATTGTGTTTTAGGAACAGAGCGATTGCTGCTGCTACTGGGAGAGAAACCATCCTCCTCCAGTCCATCAGAGGGCGCCGCCTGCGAGCGTGTCCAGCAGAAAGCTGCTGTCACTCTGGCCCGTCTTAGCAGAGACCCTGATGTGGCCCAAACAGCCATCCAGCTGAAAGGTACTGCAGCTTTCAGTTTTATATAACACAGGCACACTAAGTACAAAATAAACAGCAACACAGGACGGAGGATTAGCACAACATATGATTGGATCCTGAGGGCCAAACAATTAAATTCTAATAAATATTTTCATCTGTCTTTGTCACTGTTTATTACATTTTTGTTTGTATGTATTAAATTACTTTAATTGAATTGAATCTATCAAGTTATGGACTGGGGTCCATAAAGAGTTTTGCTTGATGAGAGGAAATAAAAAGGTAATAAAATATAAGGATAATTAAATATAAATAGTTCATTTTAATTGAGGAGCAAAATATTTATTTGAATGCAAGAAAATCTGACTAAAGACAAGGCAAAATGATCAATGAGTATAATTACGATAAAGGTGGATATTGACTGGAGCCTGGAGAGACGTTCTGTTTGTAAGAAGTGAGGCTAAATATGAAAAATTACCAAGTGGACATGATTCTCTGATTCTAATGGTAAATCTCCTCTTGAAGATGAACTATTTACTAACTTATTAATATTAATCTCATGAATATGATTAATATTTATTTACCTGACTTTAAGGATAAGAATAAGGTCAGAGAGGTATGTATCTGACCACCGACATACTTTGCATACGTTGCATACTGTATGTAATGTATGTACTGTATGTCCATTCCCCTGCATACCTTATCATCTCATGGGAAGCAGCTCTTTATAAATACTTGATGAAACCTCATAATCTGATCCGTGGAGATTCACATACTTTACAAACCGTAACGAGTCACACATGAAAGGAGTAACTTTTTTTTTTAATTAAGAAAATAACGATAAAGCAAATAATAATGCAGAACTTGAATGTACCTGAAAACTTACACAATTACAAACAGTACTCTTACAGTAAATATCTCCTAGAACTGCTTCTAAAACATCCATTTCACATTAATATCTCAGAATGGGACAAGCTTGTAACTGAATATTTTTCTCTCTTCTCTTAGCGGTTCCGCTTCTCATTGAGCTGTGTCGTTCCCCTACTGAGAGAAATAACAGCGACTCAGTACTGGTTGCCTGCCTGGTGGGTGTACAGTGTGTGTCCATATGCTTGTGTGTGTGCACGCCCTCAGATATGTAGAAATAACTCCATGTCCAGAATACAAATGTGTAATTTAAACATTCAAACTGTCTATTTCAGTCGTACCCCTGAAACAACGTGAATTTTCAACTGTGCTGCGCTGCCATATTACAACTTCAATAGAACAAACTGAGGGCATTATACCACAGGACTGCATGTGTAACCTCAGTGCAGCAAATGACTGTCCAATTTAATTACCTCCACAGGGTAACATTAGAAAAGTGAAGATACACATCACATGTTGAGAAAGCTGACTGATTCACATCATCTCAAATGTTGTATGTTTAAATATGTACATATCATGAATAATATCCCTGCTCGTACTCTATAATTCTCTCAATCTGATCATGATTATTAAAACCAGATCTTAAGCCCGTTGAGGGGATTTGAAGCGTATAATGGTCGGGAGCTTAATTGGGCTGCCTCGCTGCGCTGAGCAATGTCCTCGTCTTCACTGTAACCACACTTGTCAGTCTATTCAAATTAATGTGATTCTATTTTATCCTTCTAGCCAAGGGTTAAGTAGTACATTTGTAGGTGTTGAATTTTCATCTTCAAAGGACACGGAGCTGTCACAGATCGTTTGTAATCTTAAATGTAAATGTTGGGGGCTCTCCTGACTGAATGGGCTGGAGATGTCACACACTATTCATCTGCTTTTGAAAAAAACAACGCTGCATTACAGAGCTTCTGGTCAAATAGGTCTGAACTCATTGTTACAGTTTCATCAGGTAGAACAGTTTTTCCAGTTGGTTCTTTGCTGCTAAAATAAAGGATATTTTTAGATTTTACAAATATAAATTTTACATCCTGGGTTGTAAAAATGTGTGATTGCATATTTATTTATATGAGTTAATTTTTGCACACAGCAATCCTGTGAAACGCATACTGTGTATGTCTGTGTGTTTTGTGTCTTTACGCACTAGAGCTGACATGTGTGTGTGTCTCCAGGCTGCCTTGAGGAGACTGGCAGCAGGGTGTCCAGACAGCATCGAGGCAGCAGACCACCAGCAGCTCATCAAACCGCGGCTGGTCGACTCCTTCCTGCTGTGTTCTAACATGGAGGAGAGCTTTGTATGACGGCCTGCGCACTAAACACTGAGAGCGGAGCGCTGAGCTCGTGTACCAGATCGTGTACATGTAATGTTTCATGACACAGAGACGACTAAAGAGCATGTTCACTCCGAGACATTCTGAGTGAGAATTCGTTTTTTCCCAATTTCCTCCTGGACCCTTTGGATGTGGGTGAACGGAGCGAAGCTGCAGCGTGTCAGTTTGAATGGATGCAGATATGGAAATGTACAAACAAGTGCAGCCGAGTGGGACTCAGTAATAACATTTAATGCAAGGAGTGTGTGCAAGTTCATTAGTTATATTTTTGTGAGTGGTTATTAAGTAATTATTGTGTATGAGTGGGTGCTACTCTTTGAAAAGGGAAAGTATAACCTGTTGTGAATGAGACACTTTATATGTTACCACTGTGGAATGTTTTTTGTTCTTGTCTGAAGATGTCGTATCCAAAGCATTTCAACTATGTGAGAATACAGAACGATGTTGACACAGTGACATGGATAATACAGTAAAATGCCTCTGTTCATCGTCTGAAACATTTAACATTGATGGTGTTGGTCTGAATTATTTCCTCTCAACTCTTCTTAAGCAGGTTTGTAACAAATATGTTTTCTATCAGCCGCCACTTTATTCAGTTAACTCTTTACAACTAAATTATTACAGTAAGAACTATTATGTGTTTTAGTATGTATGTTATCTGTGTATATTAATTGACAAGGCACTATTAGTATTTAATTTTTTTATCTGAAGCATGATCTATTTGTCCTGGTTTGGAATATATTGTCTCATAAAGAGCATTGTATGGAATGTTGAACTTAATCTCAATTATGACACGTATTTGCTACATGAAGATGAATCTTTTTTTTTTAAGTCTTGGGTTTGAATATAAAGATGCTTTTTATTTAAATAGAATTACCATCATTGTATGCCATACATGGAATAAAGGCAATCATCCATCTGAAGCTCAGTGTGTTTCATCATAGTCAATTACTGCCATATGAAGCCTTTTTAAATGTTCCATGAGAAGATGTGCATTTTACTTTTGGAATTCAAAACTTTGTGGTTAAATTGCTTATTACTGATGATGATGATAATGACTAACTTGCTCACTTTAGTCTCGCAATATTAGAAACCATTTAATAATAAAGGCTGTATGTATACGGTAGATTTCAGGCTCAGTGAATACTGCTCAGATGAACATTGGCTGACATATGGAGATTATGTTWAAAAAAAAAAAAAAAAAATAGTGTGCAGTATGTCTTTAACTCTGCTCTCGCCGCATCGTTCTCAGCAGCATGCAGCTGTTTACAGCATCAAATAGCTCCTAGAAGCTGAAGAGTTAGACATGTCCCTCATCAGAACAGAGGCTAAAGAGAGAGAATTAGACTTAACATTGATCAGATGGACAGAAACACAACTCCAGATAAATGATAATGGTGCTCCACAACTGCTGGATGTGTACATATTCAACTATCTGCTAATTATATTATCATATCTACTTAAAAAAGCAAAGACGTGTACATGACCTTTTTCTGCTGCCCCAAGTGTCAAACACTCTCAGTAATTGTAGGTTTTCTGTATCATGCACACAACCAGAGAAATTACAGGTATAGCGACAGTTTAACTCCATTGCAAAAGAGTCTAAGGTTTAACTTGTGCTTATCTCTACTGTGGTCACACAGAGCAGTGCTGCACCACTGGTACAGCAGCCAAACAAGGTCAGGGTCCATGCAGCTAAAGTCCCCCAGAAGGCCCCGCTGACCTGAGGCTCTCTTCGAGGACCCACACTGTCACATCTGTCCTGTCACAAATGCAGGCACAGGGATGAGAAGAGCCTTTGACTGAAGCTCACAAAGAAAGAAAGAGGCTAAGAGACTGAGAGAAGGTGGGCCCTGTTGGTGCTGCACAACCCATGAGGGCATTTGCTATTTCACTGAGTCTCATCGGGAGGAGTGTTCAGTGCACAATGCTGCTGTGCACATTAGAAAAACCTGTCAGCTTTTCACAGCGAGAACTCATTCATTAATTCACAATGGCTTTGAAAAAGGAGTTCGCAGACACTGCAGGGTTTTTTTTTATCGTACATGTTAGCTCACAAGTGATTGAGACTAGATGCAGAAGGTGATGAGGAGCAATATGTGAGGACTTATCTAGAAAATTTGTCCTTCGTATTGTTATCTCTCTGATGAAAGCACTCACAGGATTTCTTTTCTCCACAAGCCTTCCACTCCTTGGAGAGACAATTGAGGGCCTTCTTGCTCTCTCTGTAGCTTCCATTGCACCTTAGGGCACATGCTGAGCCTGGACTTGTTACACTCTCAGCCAGTGTTGGGACAATTGAGCTGCTTTGTGTGCACGCGCGTGTGTTGTCCAGCATTCACGTGGGACCCTGTTCACAGGCCTTTGTGATAGAATATGCTCCTGCCTCGCTTTGTTGAGACCCAATGAAATATGTATGGACGCAGAGGAGAACTAAACAGAGGGCCTAGAAACACAGGTTCCTTTGATACTGTTTTGGTTTGACCACGACCAACAACACTAAGTGTTGTAGCTCTGAGTTTTTCAGCTTTTCTCAGTTTCTATACTCTTCAACTTTCCCTTTCCTTCTGCTCCATATTCACGTCTGTTGTTGTTTTCCTTATTGTTTTCAATCATCGACAATTTTTTTATATTTAAATTTTGTTTCCTATTTTTAATATTTATACTTGCACGAATGCACCACAACAAATGTCTATGTGTAAACCTGATTGGCATTAAAACCCAATTCTGATTCTGATTCTAAATTGATAGATACATAGACAGATAGATCGATAGATACAAAATTAAAAAGTACAATTTAGAATTTCAGAGTGTATATATTATCACTACCAGTTTAATTATGGGAAATATGCATCATAAATAAACTTCATTAGTCTTGAAGAAGGGTTAGTTGTAGTACAGAATTGTTTCTGTGTCATCTTCAGTGTCTCAGACCATAAATCAGAGGCATTTTGTGTAAGAAAAGGATCTGAGGACTTGTAGTCTAATTGAAGGAGACACTTCACTGTGTCTCTCCCGAGATTTTAATATTTTATGTGTCACATCTTTTGCTTCCGACTTGGAAAAGTTTCTCTCTGTCTTACTCTTATTACTTCAGGGATCCAAAAATGTATTGAAATATCTTCCTCCTCCTAAAAGTGCTTTCAGATCTTGATACATTAGATTTTACTTTTAAAGTAAAATTTGAAAAACTCACAAATTAGAATGAAGTAATTTGGCCAAACTTAAAAGTCAAACTCTGTTGGCGAAAAGCTTTAAAGTTGTGTTAGACTCATATTTTTAAGAGGCAGACAGAAAACTGTAGATCTCTGTCTCCACTTTAACTGTGATGGACTGGACTGTACCACACCCTTCCAGCAAGTTTGAAAAAAATCATTTGAGTAGTTTTTGTGTAATCCTGCTGAAACAAAACACTAGGAGCAGAAGTGCATACCAGTGCCAACAACCTACAGCCCCCTCATGAAACCACATTTAAATTCACTAGAGCTGGATTTTGTTTGGCTAAGTATGATTCCATCCAATCAATGGCAGAGTCACTGAGGCCACAACCTCCAAAGCCATATATGGTAAATTGGCTTTAACTGCCCATTTGTGGTATTTGTAATGTTTCCATCAAATTAAGTTCAGCTTTTATTTGTATTGCATCCATTAGTTATTCCCTGAGAAATCATGACACATATTAAAAAAAAAAAATACCTGTAATAAATTACAATGTTAAACAAAAGTGAATCTGCACAAAAGTTCAATGGGTTCCTTCCAGACCCATACTGCATCCTTCATTCTGCTTGGCGGCTGTGGCTCGGGGGGTTGAGTGGGTCATCCACTAAACAGAGGGTCAGCAGTTCAATCCCAGTCTACCCCATTCTGCCTATTGAAATTTCCTTGGGCAAGACATTGAATTCCAAATTGCTCCTGGCAGCTGTTCCATCAGAATGTGATTGATGAATAGAGAAAGGGCTGCATATAGATTTACTGTACAAATGTGTGTGGATGACAAAACAGTACTGTTAAGTGCTTTTAGTGGACATCAACACTACAAAATGACGATATATAAATCCAGCCCATGGATCAAGTTTTGTGATTATCTGTTCAGTAGTATTTGTGTAATCCTGCTAACTAACAGACAGACAAAGAAATGTTGACAGAAGCATTACTTCCTCGGCAGAAGTAACTAGTGATCCCAGTACCCCCTAGTTGTTTCATCTAGAGACCTCTATCTCCTCTTGTTTTCAAAAAGCAATGTGGTCGAGTCATGGGCCTTAAAATAAACACTAATATTTTGCTCAGGTGGAACATTTTCAAAATGAAGATGGTATTCACCTTAGTTTACAAGGCCTCAAACTAATGGATTAATTTGTGACTTTGGAGTCTCTCACACACACACACACACACACACACACACACACACACACACACACACACACACACACTATTCCTACATTAGCTTGGCGCTGCAGCACACTTGGAGCTCACAGCACACAGATACCTGTTGGACAGCCAATTAATAGTTCACTGATCTCTGTGCTCCAGTCCCCAGCTGACTCCTATTAGAGGACCCACTGGGATTTTAATTGCTCATATACAACCACAACACTGAGTGTAAATTAATATCAGCACTTTGTGGAAGCAACTTTTGGCCAAAGTCAGTGAAGGGTAAAGGCTTAATGCCAAAAATGTACTAAGGCTTGTGTATAGTAGTCATATGGATTCATCCTTTAGCTGCCATGCATTAGCACATCATCGTCTTACCCGGTGGACCACAGAAATCCACTTTCATGACTTTATTCTGTTTGTCTTAATACCACAGATAAACTTTAAAGCAATAAAGACAAATCAGCTCTAACCTGGACTTTCTGAATTCAACATTCACAAAACATGCCACTGTCTGTGTATATCTCTAGGTATCTCAATGAAACAATAAATTGAAATCATTCAGTAATATTGTCGTTGGCTGAAAACTGTGATGGAAGAATGGAAGGACGGGAGATATGGAAAACATAACAATCCTAGATATGTTGCTCTATATGTACATATTAATCTCTGCAGGGTCTCTTATCACCTACCCATAAAAGGCCGTTCCAACTCAAGATTATAGGTGCCTTAACATTACCTTGTCTGGTCCAGTCCTTCAGACTCTTAGGTTTGGACAGATCCAAAATAACAGGTGTGAAAGGTGTCTTGAACCAATGGAAGAAAATTTAGTATAGCCAAAAGAGATGGTTATTGTCCAGATCAAACAGAGCTATGGGTCAGATCGTTTGCAGTGTAAAAATGTTTTTTGGGAAGATGACAGCATTAAACAATAGAATAGGTGATAGCGGCTCACAGGATTGCTTGGAGTCTTCCATATATAATATTTGAATGACGAGGATGTTTATTTTGCGGGTAGTAACAGGATGTACATATGTCATACAAAGGTATTTGGTGCGCTTCCTGAATTACAATATGAAAACAAAACTGACCAGATCAGATGTCAACAATGAAACAAAGACAGAAATCTTTCTTCAGCCTATGATCCAGACTTTTAGGTGTGAAAATGTCCAAAGGCTCCAAAGAACCAAATACTATGTAAAAGGGCTTTTGTCTGGCCTCATATACAGATACATACTTCACTGTCATATTCTTCCTGCTCTGGTTACAAATTCTGACTGTGTTTGTGTTCTTTGACCCTAAGTTCCCAATTTTATCTGAGATAAGAAAATAAATCACTTAAATGTATATTTCAACCATATGATTTCAGCAGTCAACATGCAGGCTATCTATCCGTAGCTCTAGATGACTCTGATGCTCCAAATCAAATTATAAATTTCCTTTCCAGCATGGAACAATGGACGAGCATTGCTTATCAGAGTATGTTCCTCACCGTTCCCTAAGGTGTTGGATATTTAGCGGGCTTGCTAAGAAGTTTGGGGAGGCAGCTTTC